GTATTCCACTGGTTTCAGTCCATTCTGCTGGAATGCAGACATCAGAGCCGAGTGTGTGAACGTTCTTATCTGAGTGTCGGCCCAGGATTAAGTGGAGCTGCTGAAGGTCTGTCTGTTGGTGGGAACAGTGGAAACACCCAGGTCCTGAAGGGGGCGCTGCTTCCATGGTCAGTTCCAGGACTTCAGTAATGTGTAAAATATTCAGTGTCAGGAAAAACAAATGTTAAAAACAACAGGTGCACCTGACGCTGACGTCATGTGACCACAGTACAGTCAGAAATGGAACAAACTCCTCCTCCCCCTCATCCTCATCCTCCTCTTCATCCTCATCCTCCTCTTCCTCCTCTTCCTCCTGTGACCCTGGAACCAGTGACCGTGAACTGGTCAGCCTGGTTCCATTCCAGTGAGTATAGAGACAATAGTTAGCTTGTATTAGCTAACTATTGTTAGCTAAAAAACTGTTATGGTTCTGGACCAGTGACACCATCGCTGCCTGTGGACCAGAACCACTCACTGGTCCACAACATTTAAAACCTTATAATAAACAGCGGTGACTGTAGCGAAGCAGTGCGATACCACGGTCCGCCTACGTCCTCCGAGATAAGAGACGTAACAACCTGTCAATCATCGAGATCAAAGACTTTCCACTCGCGCCTTGTTTCCAACAATAAAACAGAAACACGTCTGTTGGTTGAACAGTCAGAACAACGTGATGGTCGACGCGGTGGCTCAGTGGTGGGAGCTGTCTCCTCACATCGTGAAGGTCACAGGTTCGATCCCCCAGGTGTAGGTTAGTTCAGTTGATGAAGATTAATTAATCCACAGCTGCCCAGTGATTCATCAGATCATTTTTATTGTTTTACAAACAAAAACCAAAACAAAACATTTTCACATATTTGTTCCGTCAGTCGTTCAGTAACACGAGAAGAAAACAGAACCATAAATGTTGGAGAAAGAACAACTGGAAACTTCAGCAAACACAACATCCTGTGATAAACGGCGGTGACGTCATG